CTGGTACGTACTCCCTCATGGATGTTTCCAATGATTTGATGAGGAGGATGTTGACTCAACCATCTAGCATCAGATGTTTGATTAATTTGAGTCTGCTGCTTTTCTTCCTCTTCCTCATCACTCTCCTCAGATAGAATTGGAAGACTGGGAGCTTCAATTCTGGTGTATGAATCTGTTTGATCGAAGCCAACTGCCGGCAGTGGTCTACGGTTTGAGTCATCTGCTGGCAAAGGTCTGCCGTTTGAGTTAACTGCTGGCAGTGGTATGTGGTTTGAGTCTACTGCTAGTTCAAGAATGCTCCTGTCTTTTTGTTTTTCAGTGCTGGGAAGGCAGCTTGGAGCCTTACCATTCTTCTTTTCTTTTGGTGACTCATCTTCTCTTGTTTTGTGAGCAGATGTGTGGTTTTCAAAGACCACATGAATTGACTCTTCTACCACTAGAGTTTTTTTTGTTGAGTATCCGGAATGCCTTGCTTGTTGATGAATAGCCCAAGAAGATTCCTTCATCTGACTTAGCATCAAATGGCTTGAGATAGTCTTTTCCATTATTTAGAATGTAACATTTACATCCAAACACATGAAAGTGACTAATATTTGGCTTTCTTCCATTCCACAGCTCATAAGGAGTCTTCTTGTAAGTCTTGTGGATAAGACTTCTATTCTGAGTGTAGCAAAGTGTGTTGATTGCCTCGGCCCAGAATCTTTTGGGCAAGCCTGCTGCTTCAATTATAGTTCTTCCAGCTTCTTTGAGAGTCCTGTTTCTTCTTTCAGCAACACCATTTTGTTGGGGTGTTCTTGCTGCTGAAGTTTGGTGATGTATTCCGCTTTCTTCACAGTACTGAATAACTATTGCATTTAGAAATTCAGTACCTCTATCAGATCGAATCTTCTGGATTGAGATGCTTCTTTCATTTTGTATATGCTTCATCAATTCAGGAAGCTTTTTCTCAGTTTCATTTTTCCTTTTCAAGAATAAGGTCCATGTGTACCTTGAATAGTCATCTACAACCACTAGAGTGTATCTTTTGCCACTTAAGCTTGTTGGATCAACTGGTCCAAACAAGTCAAGGTGCAGTAGGCTCAAAGGTCTAGTGGATGACTCAATCTCTTTAGATCTGAATGGTACCTTTGTTTGATTCCCTTTTTGACATGCATCACATAGGTGATCCTTTTTTAAGTTAATTTCTGGAAGTCCCTTCACCAATCCTTTTCTGGACAGTTTGTTGATGGTTTTGAAGTTGAGATGACTTAGTTTGTTGTGTCATTCCCAACTCAAACTTGAATCTGCCTTTGTGATCAAGCAGATTCCCTCCTTGGCTGAGCTCCATTCAACAATATACATGTCCTTCTTTCTTCTACCAGAGAGAATTTTGTCATTTTTGACATCTTTAATTAAGCAGATGGCTTTGGAGAATGTCACACTATATCCATTGTCACAAAGCTGGCTTGTGCTTATGAGATTGAACTTTAATCCTTTAACATAAGATATGTTTTGGATTGTAAGTCCATTGATTGATAGATCTCCAGCTCCTTTGGTTTCTCCTTGTTTTTCCACATTCCCAAATGTTACTTTGGGTCCTTCCTTTGCAATATAGTTTGACAGAAGCCTCCTGCTGCCTGTCATGTGCCTGGAGCAGCTTGAGTCTATGTACCAAGTTTGTGAGTCCACTGCTCCAGCACCTTCCTGTATTCATCGTGGTTGAGCAGTAGCCCATAAGTTAATGGACAACTTCCCTTGTACAAGTTTAGGCATCCATGCCCATCTAGAACCATTTAACCCTAAACAGATGGGTCTATAGCCATTTGAAGTGTTGTAATCAAAGGGGATGGCTATGTATTTGTTAACCCTTTTTCTCTTGGAAGTGAAATAGGGATTGAATCCTTTTGTAGGGGTCTGCTTGTTATTTTGGCTGTGGCTGGTCTTATTGATTGGTTGCCAACGAGTTCTTGGGTTTTGATGGTTGGGAAGCTTTTGTTTATGCATGCATTTAGATTTTGATTTGGGAGCAGGTAGGTTCCTTCTTGTGGGAAAGGTTTGGGAATGGGTTTTTTGGTAGATTAGCTTTCTTGTATCTTGTTGATGGCTTGTGGAGGGTGAGTTTTGAGTGAGTCTGATGGGGGATATATAGCCGAGACCTCTTCTCTTCCTATTTTGAGTAACTTTAGCAGTAGGATCACTCTTTTTACTTTCCATGCTAAAGTTATTCATTTTATTTTTCAGCTCTTTGTTCTCTTCTTCTAAGACATTGTTTTTGGTCAAGGCATCTAATAGTTTGGCATGAATAACCTTTATGTCTTGTTTTAATCTATCATTTTCTGATCTTAAGAGAACATGGTGATTTTGGACCAAAGCGACCATTCAACAATCCTTCCAGAAAGAGACCTTCATTCTGCCAATAATATGCCCTTGGTTCGTTTTTGACTGGCGAATCCAATGGTATAACTTTTACAGATTATCAATTAGAAACAAGATTACAGGGATCAAAACAGAGTAATATCGAAAAGTATGAAAAACATAGAAACTTCGAAAACTTCTTCGCGGCTGATCAAACTCGAGCAGGCTCTGATACCAGTTGTTGGTCCCGGATTATGTGGATTATCTAACAGCTTAGAATGGAAATCATCGCATAAACAGAAAAGGAAGACATCACAGAATGATTTTAAGCAAATATCAAGTGCAGAGAGATCTCCTTTCTATTTATCGAGAAGTACTTTTGACAGCGTAAGGCTACTGAGCAGAATGATCGATGAGTACCTGTACTGAGTGCTCCTATTTATAGGCGCAATACAGTTTACCTAATTAGGGTACATAGGAGTTTTGGCCTAAAGCCTTTTTGGACCGTATTCCCTTTTCTACCTATTTATTACATAAGGTTTATTAATACTCATACCATGAATGGTATATCTGATCTAATTTATTTAACAAATAATTAGAGACAAACTTGACTCACAATAAAAGTTCTAACAGATCTGCTAGCATATCATTTTTGCTGATGTGTTCAATACAAATTTCGTTTTCCTCCACTCTTTCTCGAACGAACAAATATTTTGTATCGAGGAACGATCCCGCTCCACTCGAACTATTATTGTTTGAGAAGCTCACGGCCGCGGAATTGTCACAATAAATCCTTAGTGGTCTTGAGACGGAATTCACTACCTTTGAATCCTTTGATAAGATTCCTTAACAACATTCCATGACATGTTGCGTTGTACACCGCAACATATTTAGCCATCATTGTTGAAGTAGTCGTAAGTCTTTGCTTGTGGCTTTTCCAAGATATTGGCCCACCTGACAACAATAAAATGTATCCTGAAGTAGACTTCCTATCGTCTTTGTACTTAGCAAAGTCAGAATCGGAATATCCCACCACTTCTAAATTATTAGACCTCTCGTAAGTAAGTTTGTACTCCTTAGTCCCTTGAAGATACCACAAAACATTCGTAGCGGATTTCCAATGATCTAATCCTTGGTTAGATTGATATCTTCCCAACATGCCAGATACATATGCAATATCTGGACGCGTACAAACTTGAGCATACATCAAGCTTCCAACTATAGAAGCATAAGGAATGAGTTTCATTTGCTCTTTCTCAACCTCGGTTTTTGGGCATTGGAATGACCCAAAAACGTCTCCCTTAACTACTGGAGCAGCTGATGGAGGAGAGCATTGTTGCATGTTAAAACGTTCTAAAATGCGCTCAATGTATGCCTTTTGGGACAAGCCTAATGTCCCTTTGACCCTGTCTCGGTGAATTTCAATGCCTATAACATAAGAAGCTTCACCTAGATCTTTCATGTCAAAATGGCCAAATAATACGCGTTTTGTTTCATGCAATAAATTCATGTCACTACTTGCTAATAAGATGTCATCAACATATAACACAAGTATGATGAATTTGCTCCCACTCATTTTGGGGTAAGTGCATTGATCTACTTTGTTTTTAGTGAAGCCATTTGATTTCATGACTTCATCAAATTTGAGGTACCATTGTCGAGAAGCTTGCTTGAGCCCATAAATGGACTTCTTGAGTTTAAACATTAGATGTTCTTGACCTTTATAAACATCTTCGTGTAAATCTCCATTTAAGAAGGCTGTTTTGACGTCCATTTGATGTAGCTCAAGATCAAAGTGAGCTACTAAAGCCATAACAACCCTTAGGGAGTCCTTTCGAGACACGGGTGAAAAGGTCTCTTGATAATCTACACCTTCCCTTTGAGTGTAGCTCTTAGCGACCAATCTTGCCTTGTATCTTTCAAAGTTTCGCTTTGGTCTTAAAGACCACCACCGGCCACCACCGGCCACCACTGAGCCACCACCGGGCCACCACCGGCCACCATCGACCACCACCGGCCACCACCGGCCACCACCGGCCACCACCGGCCACCACCGGCCACCACCGGCCAGCACCGGACCACCACCAGACCACCACCGGCCACCACTGGACCACCACCGGACCACCACCGGCCACCACCGAACCCCCACCGGACCACCACCGGCCACCACCGGACCACCACCGGCCACCATCAGACCGCTTTCGGCCACTCCCGAGACCATCATCGGACTATCATGGACTACGAAAATAATTATTTGTTTCTCGGAATGACAAAACTGAAAATGAATTAGCACTAAAACAAAACGATTTCAAAAATAGAAAACTAAAAACAGTTTTTTGTTTTTAAAAAACCAAAAACAGAAAACTCAAAACTATACCGAACGAGCCCTAAAAGTAAGACTTGCCGTATCTTTTTGTAGTTGCAGAATCCCTAAAAGTTAACCATATCTCTATGCTCAGGAAAAATTCAATACATCTGGAATAATTGTGCTAGAGCAAGAGGAAATCTCCTTTACCTATGGACACAATGATATCCAAGGTAAAAGAAGTCATGTGCCCATATACATATTTCTTCATACGGTCCCACCAATTAAATTTATTTACATCAGTGATTTATCATTCTCAATTGCTAAGGTGCAACTCAGCTTCACTATATAAATAGATGCAGCCAGGCACACTTCACTCAGCTGATCATTATTGTAGCGTATTTATATACTCCTAGTTATTATATGCTTGAGATGATGAGGATAACCCATCAGCAGGTGCTCCATTTTTTTCTCAATTGCCTCCTGTTTGCAGCGCTTTTGCTCTCTAGCGCCTTGGACAACACCATTTCCACTGCTCAAGCCATGCGCCCCCTGCATCAATGTAAGCTCCTCCCCGTGACCCCGTTCGCAATGATGACAATAACTTAGACCCGTTGAAATTGGTTGAATCTGTTGAATTTTTTCAAATTGTGGCTTAAACGGTTGACTGAACGTGATAGTATGAACGTCTTTAAAATGTATAGTAAAAATAATATAGGAAGAAGCTACCATTGTCCTCTTCATCAACTTCATTATGAATGATTAACTTTACACCGCTTTATTTTCAATTTTGATTATTACAAAATTTAACATGTAGAATTAAATGTCTTTTGTATGAAGAAATAACAAAGTTGATAAGCAGAAATAAAAGTTATTTGAGGCACCTTAAAATTTTTAGACTCCCTTCCTCGTGTGAAAATAATTTTTAGCAAATTTTATTTTGGCTAATCATATGTTTTCCCCCAGCTCGCAATTAAATTTTTACTTAATTAGTGAGATGTTAAACTATTAAATCACACATCTCTTTTTGGTAATATACGAGTGAAAATATTCGGGAAATTATCCTAAATAGGATTAAAAACGTTTGTATATTCCAAAATAAAACTTTCATGTTTTTGTTGTCAAAACAGGACTAATTACGGTCATAATTTGGCAGTATTAGACTTTAAACATGACAATATTTTCCTAACTTGGCAGTCTTATTTTGGAATTTTGAAACTTTTTTACTCTTATTTGGAGTCCAATTTATACAAGTACGTTAAAAAGTTAATAAAATTTTTCTTTGCCTAGAACCCCGTCAATATTTTAACTATAGATCTTGATAATATTTAAATTACTACTACATATTATTGTTTCATAATTACATAATCTGAAATTGAACTAAAAGTTATACTGAATGAAATGAATCAAATTCGAATATGATACGGAGCAAACACTTGGCACTCGATGATTCAGGAAAGGACTTACAATTTCAGTGAATAAAAAGGTACTCTAATAACCGGTCAGGCCATCAGGGCTCAGGCTGTAGACCTTGCAGTAGTAATTCATGAATTCGCGTTACAGTTAATTTCGGAAGAAACCCGCCGGAGCTTATCAATGGACACTTTCATCAAGCTGCTTCAGTAAGTTATTTTACTCAAGTCTCTGCCCTATAATGGCTCTATATATCAGTTGGGAGTAAATGCATATATACATAAACGATACTTAACGGTTGATATTGTTGTATTTTAGCATCTCCAAGTCTTAACTATAACAAATCAATACCAAAATTATACATATACGATAGTATGTTTTAAACATTAATGTATTCAAATTTTCAGCCAAAAAATCAAGTAGTTGGAATTTCATGTGTACATTGGTGACATGTATAAAAGTAATATACAATGGCCTACATGCAGTGGCGGATCTAACATGTATGTTTTGGGTGTTCAAAACTCTCAATTAAAAATTAAAATGAAATACGCATATTAATTAATAAGTTAATTAGTAGATGAGTTTTTTAACTCTTGTTGTTATTAACACAAATAAGTAAGGAAATAACGTTTTACCGCTCCAATAATAACTTAAGAAAAAAATTATGCCACACCAATGATAAATTAAGAAAAAAAATCAATAAAGTAAACAAAAAAACACTGCCATACGTCCATACCAATAACTTGAGCAAAAGACATACAACCACTAAACAAGGCCCAACAAACGACGTCACATACTCCACTAAAAAGACATACTACTGTGTCCCTCATCCAATTCTTTATTCATCGAGAAAACAGAGGGAATTGAAGGACGGGTTACAAAGCTTGGAGCTTCAATTCTAAAATCCAGATGAACAAAACGATGACGTTTGATAATAAAATTTGAAGTTTTTGGGTGTTCACATGAACACCCTTGAACAACACCAGCTCCGCCACTGCCTACATGAATAGAATTTCGGCCGTCGCAAAGGATTTTCTTGTCGTAAATTTGAAGAGTAATGCTAGTTAAACATGTTGAAGTCTCACACCAGAAAATTGTGAAGTAATAAAGTGGTATATTAAAGTCTAATCTCCTCTTCCTATCAGGTTGACCTTTTAGGATTGAACCCTAGATCTTGACATGGTATATGAGAGCCAAAACGACTCATAACCATGGTGTGGGTCCTTTATAAAAAATGACGATCATTATAAAAATGAAAATCATGAACCGATGGAAAAAATGAATGACATCACGATCCAGATGAAGTGTCTGGTCGTAAGGAGGGAGTGTTGAAGTCCCACACCAGAAAATTATGAAGTAATAAATATTAAAGTCTCATCTTCTCCTCCTATCAAGTTGAACTTTTAGAATAGAATCACAAATCACAAAATATTTAAGTAAAGTTATGGTATTGATTTGTTTAATTTCAGAGTTAAAGTAGCAAAGTGTAATAATACTAATAGCTAAGGTACTATTTATATATTTGAGCCTGTATATTCTTTTGAATGATGAAGCGTAATAAAGTACGGAGTACTCGTTTAGTTAATTTTAAAAACATGACAGGTTAAAGAGAGGAAGTTGATAGTTGGACCACCCTCCGGACCAAATCCAGGTAACTTTAGGCATACACGATAAAAGTATACTGTACCAGGGGCGTAGCTCACCCTATAAGAAGAGCATGACACAAGAGAGAGGTCTCAGGTTCAACTCTGAGCAAAGACTTAGAATGAAACCCCACACTCTTTTCATCAGAATGTGATTAAATATCTATTTACATCCTCCCAGATAACTGTCCGGTCGGTCCTGAGGGTCTTCATGGACTCTGTATCATCTTTTTTTAATAGAAGTGTACTACGTGTATTTTGAGTTTATGAAAAGCTGGATATACTTAGTGTAGTAGATTAGGGCGTGCAATACATGAGTTCTACGCAAAGTGTCAACAAAGTGTCTAAAATTCTTAGGCACGAAGTACTATTGTGTGCAAAGACATTTTTTACTCCATAGTACATACTCGGTATTTTAATGTACATTACAATAGGTTTTAACACATTATTTATGGATGAAATAGTATGAGTAATGAATGATTAGAAAAAGTAAGCAAGATAGTGGAAAAGTATGAAAGAGAAGATAAAAAGTAGAAAAGTTAGAATAATATATTTTTAAAGTAAAAATTTATCAAAAAGGAAAAATGTAGCAAACTTTAAATTTATCTAAAAAAGAAAATGTAGCAAACATGATACTGCAAAAGGAATACAAACTTATTTTCTCATGGAAAAAAACTAACAAAAGGTCCATAAAAGGAATACGGACTTATTTTCTCAGGTCTGTGATTTGGTTGTTGTTCAAAATTATCCATTGATCATCATTAAAATCATCATCTCCATTATTGCCACATTTCCAATTTAAGTTGGTGGTAGCATCAGTGGCTTTGCGCTTTAAATTACTAAATGGGGCTCGCAATACAACATCCTCATCATCCTGCCAATCAAGTCTCTCCATGTAATGTCCAAATGACATATTTCTCTATAAAGCCTATCTCAAATAGATGTTGAGGTACAACATTGACGTCAGTCTCTTTTCTCAAGTTTCGCCAACTTAACACGGACATAAATTCCTTGATGTCATTGTTGTTTCTGATATGTAACGGCAGCTTTTATGAACACCCGCACCAATGAAAAATTAAGACATGTTTCAAAGACCATCCATCCGACTACGATCCATCTTGAACGGAATTCTAGAACTATCAACAATCGTATAAAGTGCATGTAAAATATCATATACTAATATTTGCTAACTAGTACGTACGTTTGCAAAAAATCAAGTAAGTTTATAAATTATTTAAAATTATCAACCATATATTCTATAATTTTCAAATAATAATAACAATACATTATAATAGTAATAATATTATTGTAAAAATAAAATTCAACAAATAAGTATATGTTAATTCCAAATAACATATCACATAAACAAAATTCAACAACAAAGTTAGCATATCGAGGGAGAAAAAAGTGGAATAAATTAAGGGTTTTGAAAAACTTGTTAAGTGCATTTAATAATTTAAAAAAAACTAGTATTATTTTGGAAAATTCCCCTGAATAGGACTAAATAGGTTTTGGAATTTCAAATAGGACTGCTATGTTTTCTTCCCGAAATAGGAGTCAGTATTGTCATTATTGAAAAATACTGACATGATTGAAAAATACTGTCATTAATCATAGTGAATACTATTTTTTTTTTACTCCAGGAGGCGTCTGGGGGAGGGGGGCTGGGAGAGCCTGGAGTAATTGGGGCAGAAACTCACTCTATTGAGTTTCAAACCCGAGACCTCCCGTAAGGGAGAGTGAGTCGGCGACCAGTTGGACTGGACCGCTTCCTCATCATAATGAATACTATCATTTGAATGACCTGTACTCTAATTATTTGGCAGTAATGACTCAAAGAAGACAATAAATACTGTCATGTTACTCCTATTTCGGGAAGAAAAACATAGTAGATCTATTTTGAAATTCCAAAACCTATTTACTCTTACATTCGAAATCTCTCTTTTATGTTATCTTAAAATATTTGAATTAAGGGCTCGCTTTTTTGTTGTTGTGTTTGCACAGGACCCCCAAATTCGAGACACGTTCTTCACACAACGCAGAATGGATCACCACCAGGCCCTTAAAGTCAAGGATGAGAGCTCCGTTTACCTTGCTTGATTTGATTTGTTTGCCACCATGAGTTGCAAATTAGTTTGCAACTCATATATACTGGCATGCATAAGACTTGTGGAATATAAATATTTTGGAGTATATCTTTGAAGTTTGGGTTCATACCTTCAATAACAATGTGTTGAATAAATATTCAAAAACAAAAAACAATGTGTTGAATAATGAAATAACATAGTGTTGGATAATTTAATATTTGATAAATTAATGCTGTTATAAGTACAAATAAATTTCAATCTTATGATATTGAAATAGTCTTAATTAGTAAGATAAGTAGATATTATTGGATATATTATAGATTTAAATTGTTCATGATATGAACACTCAATTTGAAAAATATGCAAGTACATGTGTAAATTTAGTAATTAACAATATTGTTCTTCAATGCATAACACGTAGATCTATAATTACACAAAAGATATTGGTTGTTATACCGTGGGAGCTGTTGGGTGTGTTTCGGAAAATAAAGAAAATTAATTAAAATAAATTAATTAAATAAAATGACTAGAGAAAAACAAGAAAGGAGATGAAGCAGAATTAGTCAAAGCTCGTGCTACGCACGATGTCCTTAAAACGTATTTGTTGCCTCCCACGGTGCTAGGAGCGTTGCAACAATAGTTTCCCAGAACACGATGACTACGAACTAATGTTTGAGCACACAAACAAGAGTTCCAGCGAACGTGAACAAAAACTGAACACTCAGGGATTTTTAGAATGACTGGAGGTGTTTTTAGCTGAAGAGATACGTGAGCTCGTGTATGCAAGAACGTGTAAAATCGTGTGTTGTTGCAAACCGATTTTGGGATTTGATTTGCACCCCACCCCACCCCCCTGCGCGTGTGGAGAGAGCCTTTACCCTTAGGAATCTTAACTCCATAAGGGGGAGTCCCTTTATAAAGGGTTGCAAATCCCTTGGGTTTTCCGGTGTGGGAAATTAACACACTAGAAACCCATCCTTTTTCCCAGTATTTCCATTCTAACGGGTAAACTTCGAAAAGCGATTTCTCATTCACCCGTTATCCGTTTTGAGCGTACCACATATCGAATTGTAGCCCTTAACAAGGACAATCCGAAACCACTTTGACCCGACCCAAATTGGAAGTGGACCCCACTCAAAAAATTGCCCCAAAAATAACCATTTAATGCAATTTTTCACACATTTTTCCAACAATCCCCCACATTTTTCATCCTAATGGAATTTATTCTCGTTCATTTTCTACCATACAAGTTAGAATATTCGAATCGAATTCTACCAGGTATGTGAGAAAATCCGGTCCGAAGGATTTTTCAACTCTAACACGTTTGCTGCGTCGGGGTTCGGGTTCTTCACCGGATCCCTCGCTAGTATTTTCCATAGCTACGTCAAATGTTCGTTTTGACGTGCTAGGTCCATCGTTGGACTTGCATGGAAATACGTCTTCAAAGAATGATGCATTCCTTGACTCGATTATTGTGTTTTTATGTACATCCGGATTATTCGAATCGTACACTAAAAACCGATAAACACTACTATTTTGGGCATATCCAATAAAAATACAATCCACCGTTTTTGGACCTATTTTTATTTTCTTAGGTGTTGGTACAAGTACCTCAGCAAGACACCCCCACACTTTTAAATATTGATAGGAAGGCCGTCTGACTTTCCACAACTCGTACGGAGTTTTATCATATTTTTTCCGGGGAACCTTATTTAAAAGGTAATTGCTTGTCAAGATTGCTTTGCCCCACATGTTTTGTGGCAAGCCCGAACTTACTAGCATCGCATTCATCATATATTTCAATGTGCGATTGTTTCGTTCGGCAACACCATTTGATTGAGGTGAATAGGGTGTGGTACGTTCGTGTACTATACCCACACTAGCGCAAAAGTCACCTATTGGTGCTTCATACTCACCACCTCGATCACTTCTAACCGTTTTAATCCGTCGATTAAGTTGGTTTTCCACTTCATTCTTATAAAGAATGAATTTATCGATTGCTTCGTGTTTATTTTTCAACAAATAAACATCGCTATAGCGAGTGCTATCATCGATAAAAGTAATAAAATATTTATTACCGCCACGTGTTTGTATTGATTTAAAATCACAAACGTCACTATGAATTAATTCTAGTGGTTCTGTTTTTCTTTCAACCGATTTGAAAGACATTTTCGTTAGTTTTGCCTCAACACAAATATCACATTTGTGCTTCACATCAATTGTGAATTTAGGAATGTGTTCCATGTTAATTAATCTACGTATAGAATTAAAATTAACATGTCCTAGTCTACCATGGCACACATTGGAAGACTCAAGCAAGTAAGCAGAAGGGATTTTATTATTATTAATAATAATAGTCGTTACATTGAGCGTAAATAGCCCGTTACATGCATACCCTGTGCCCACATACATTCCCGATTTGGTCAAAACTAATTTGTGCGACTCAAAAACCATGCGGAAGCCATGCTTGTTCAACAACGAACCGGAAATCTGGTTTTTGCGTATCTCCAGAACGAACAGCACTTGGTTAAGAGTCAGCTCTTTGCCCGAAGTTATCTTCAGGACCACCTTGCCCCCGCCTTCCACCGCGGAATGAGCCGAGTTTCCCATCCACACCTTCTCACCATTAGATGGCTCAAAAGTAGTGAATAACTCCCGGTTTGAGCAAATATGCCGGGTAGCACCGGTGTCTTCATCCTTTTGCCCACCTTGCACCAAATTGATGTGAGAATCTTTCTTCCTCTTTGGTGCCTTGCAATCCGAGGACTTGTGTCCATTTTTATTGCAATTGAAGCATTTTCCGTTGAACTTTGTCTTGGAAACGCCTCCCTTGGGACCGAGCTTGCTCTTCCCATTGTTTTTATTTTTGGAGCCTTTTGCATGCTCCACAACGTTGGCCTTGGCGCCGTGAGCAATTGGGAGTTTCCCATCGTTCTTCCGATTATCCTCTTCAATCCGCAGACGGAGGATCAGTTGCTCCAAGTTCATTTCCTTTGGCTTATGCTTATGGTAGTTTCTGAAAGCCTTCCAAGCCGGCGGCAACAAATGTATAATTGACGCCACTTGGAAAGACTCGCTAACCGTCATTCATTCATCTCGAATTTCGTTGAAGATCATTTGCATCTCCTCAACTTGAATCGACCAACGACAAATTTCTTTGTGCCGGCATCCTCGCTGTTATATTTGTGGTCCAAAGCATTCCATAGCTCCTTAGCCGTAGCTAATTTGCTATAAACGTCGTACAAAGCATCGTGCAGCCCGTTCAAAAATAACTGTCATTGGGAATTTGCTATAATTCACATAGTTTCTGCCCAACACTTCTGTCATTGGGAAAAAATAAACGTTTCGGGGAGAAAACAAAAATTAACCGTATGTCTTGAGAAATAGATTTTTGGACGACATTCGTGTCCGCAGGTCGCGGTTTTTCTTCTCCGATTTCGAGATTTGATTTGCACCCCCCCCCCCTGCGCGCGTGGAGAGAGCCTTTACCCTTAGGAATCTTAACTCCATAAGGGGGGAGTCCCTTTATAAAGGGTTGCAAATCCCTTGAGTTTTCCGGTGTGGGAAATTAACACACTAGAAACACATCCTTTTTCCGAGTTTTTCCATTCTAACGGGTAAACTTCGAAAAGCGATTTCTCATTCACCCATTATCCGTTTTGAGCGTACCATATATCGAATTGTAGCCCTTAACAAGGACAATCCGAAACCACTTTGACCCGACTCAAATCGGAAGTGGACCCCACTAAAAAATTTGCCCCAAAATTACCATTTAATGCAATTTTTCACACATTTTTCCAACATTAATTCCTTGTCCACCAATGATTACACCAAATCCAACTGGAACTTGGCCTTTTCCCTTCTACTTGGGCTTTTTCCTCTTCCTTAACCTCCCCTGGCAGCTTTAAATCCTCTGTCATGAAATATCACCTAAAAATTTAGAAGCAAGCATATTACAATAAATGATGTCCTCTATGAAGTTAGGGAAATTTGTTGATTCAGTCCCATAACTTATAGATATATCCGATATTGGTCCTGTAACCTTATTAACTTGCAATTTACATCCCATAACTAATAAGTTGGTGCAATTTTTGTCCTTCTCTGCCGGAACTTATCAATTTCGTCGGAAAAAGACACATCACCTGCCACATGGTATATTATTTGAAACTCATTTGCTGACTCAATATTGGCCCTTAGCTGGAGTTAAAAAACCAGAGTACGAAAGCTCTTCGCTAAGTGCGTGCACAACCATACCAAGCCTATTATCGGATCTGCAAAAGGGGGGAAGAACATATAACTCTACGTGAAGATTTCTCCTAAACTAAGTCAAGAGAGTGAGTTATTCTTCAAATCTGTTAGTAACGGCTCTCGATCAGACAAAAGTTTATGGAGTGTGATTGTGGTAAAAAGGTTTCTCTTCTAACTTCTTGGACTGATAACGATCCTGGAAGGAGGTTTCGTGTGTGCGCTAGAAGCAGAGTAAGAAGTTCAGCTTTTTAATTTACATTGTTCGCTTCTTTTTTTACTAAATAAACTAGAAATTTAAGAATAGCATTTGAATAATAAATTTGTTTGAAAATTAAAATGTATTTTATATTTTAAGTTAGGTTTTGCTAATAAAATTACCATCTTCTATTTGTTGGGGGCATTTGATAATGTATTTTTGTGTTCAAAGCAGTAAAAAGTAAGTTAAGCTTCATCTTGTTTTGATACAGACAGAAGGTTGCAGATTTTTTGAATGGGCGGACCCACCTATGTGCCATCGTTGAACGATGATAATTCCGGGATTGGTTAGAAGATTCAATTCAAAAGAGGAAGAGGTTGTGAAGTTGAAGGCTAAAAATAAAAGGCTCCTCATAGTTGTTGTGGGGCTAGTGTTTTTGCTCCTGGTCTTTCTCATGTTAAAGATGTGAGAAGTGAAGATGATGTAACATTTAAAATGCTTTATTCTTAAAACATGAATCCAAAAAGCTTTAAACTTCATTCAAAATGCTCCTGCTGCAACCAAGAAGAAATAATTTTTTAACTCTAGCTAAGGGCCAACATTGAGTCAGCAAATGAGTTTCAAATAATATACCATGTGGCAGATGATGTGTCTTTTCCGGCGAAATCGGTAAGTTCCGGCAGAGAAGGACCAAAATTGCACCAACTTATTAGTTACGGGATGTAATCTGCAAGTTAATAAAGTTACAGGACCAATATCGGGTATAGCTATAAGTTACAGGACTAAATCAACAAATTTCTCATGAAGTTATGAAGCA